TGAATTGCGCTGCTGTCCTATGAAGGATAAGTTTACACGCCCCAAATGAACCAACCTGTTTTTCTGCTCCTTGCTTAAGGGTATAACTGCTGCTTGGCTGTCACCCGAAATGCACTTCGATCGTCTGTTTCAGTCCCTGCTTCTTCTCTGGACTCCTCTCCTGTCCCACCTCCAACTCTCCCACTCCTCCACCCCCGTGGGCCAGTTTTAAACATCAGCCTTTGTTTAAAACAAGAGAAAAACTACTTTATGTGTTAGAGTGAGCTTGTTGCCTACAGCCTCTGCAGAAGTTACCAAGCTTGCATAGAATGAGAAATCAGCTCTTACGGGTACCCAGGGCTAAGCTGCAGCCTTGCCCAGTGCCGGGGGAGGGAAGGAATCAGAACCTTGCATTGCCCGAGGTTCCTCACCAGTGGTTCAGTTAGGGTGTCCACGGACGTGAGATCACTTCCTATAACCTGAGTAACCATGTTACTGCATTTAAATCTTAATATACACAGTTTTGGACGATATCCACATCCGGTATTTGATCTTGGCTCTTCCATTTTTAAAAGGAGGTGGAATATAAATAAATTAATTTGAACTTGAGATGTATCTGGGAAAAACAATAACCTAGGCTTTACAAAGAAATTGAAAAGTCCAACTTCGGTTTGTTTTTAATTACTTTCAGCTGCAGTTCCACGTTCTCCGGCTCTGTCTCCTGGTGCTAGAGGGTTAATGCTGGCATTTGAGCCAAACAGATATTTCTATTTTTATATACCATTTTAATGAGAATTCAGAACAATGATCTTAGAAGGAAAACATGAAGATTTTATGACTACTCCACTGGGACTTCTGCTTAATTCTTTTTCACTGGAGTTTTTTAAAGATTCTTTTTGGGTGACTCTGCACCATTCAGAGTTCCTTTCTGCAGGCAACTCCAGCCTTCTAGGCTTCTGAAAGAGTGGGGCAGCAAAGACCTTGGGTCTTTTGCTTTGCACTCACGTAGGATCTGAGCAAATTACCTGATCTGTAGTGTTGGGTGGCATGATGTGACATTGCTGTTTTTGTAGGTCAAATACGGCCGAAGAATGGCAATTTTATGTGATTCATGTTAATATCAGGAAGTTTCAGTGACATCAGAGCACTTAGCTTAAGAAAATCAACCCAGAGAAGTTTGTCAGCCTCTTTGTAAGACGTGTTTTTCAGCTCCTGAGAGTCTTAATATATACAAATTCAAACGCTATGAAAAGAAACTGCCATTATTAGAAACGGCTTAAACGAGATGTTCTTCATTTTCTGTGGACAGGTGGCTCAGTAAGCATCTGTGTGTGCTTGTGTGGTCTGAATCCAACCCCCCAGAATGGCAGCCCCGAAGTTAGTGACGGCCTCTCCCAGAACCTGCGGGAGAAAAAGTACGGGAAAGCGTGCCCTCGGCCGCCACCCCGTCAGTGTTCTAGAGCTGTTGTGATATTTGTCATCATGTCGGTGAAGTTTTGAAGTGTGAATGTGGTGGAAACGAGTATCTTGAGTGTGCAAGAAATACCTCATTTCTTTTCATCTACTTGGTATGAACTATTAGCCCCCCTCCTACAAGGCTGAAGGAAAGTTCAAACTCAGTTATCACTGGGCATCCCTCCCCACCCCCCTCCAGAACGGCGTGAGGGGCCTGGAGTCTCCCATAATGTCTAGGATTTGGGGAGCACGTGCTGGTTATTGTTCCTTGGTGGACTCCAGCATTGCCAAAACCCCGTCACTCCTGCCCCCGTGACCCCTCCAGGCAAAAAAGATCTGCTACTCCGTGCCACGTGTGGGATGTAAACTTTTATCACAGCTGGGAGCCCTGGGCTCTCGGAGTGCCGATCGGGTGCAGGGCCTGGGTCCCCTTTGATTGTGGACCCCACGGGCATTGCTTCCCTCCCTACCGAGGGTAATCCTGCGGCGTTCCTCCATCTGCAGGGCCTGGAGGTGATGGGCGGCAAAATGGCCAGGCCACTTTGGAGAAGAAAACTGGGAGACCAAATCCAAGTCATTAAATATACATGACGATGTTATCTTGCCATAGGAAGTTCTAAATTAATGGTAGCCAAAGTCCTTACAAGGAAGCACTAAGACTTAGTCCGGTACAGCAGTCACTAGCCACGTGGGGTGTTTACATCTAAACTAACTAAAATTGAGTAAGATTGAAAATTCAGTTTCTCAGTCAACTGGTCATGTTTCAAGCACTCAGGTGCCACATGCAACCACCGTATGGGACAGGGCAGATAGGGGCATTTCTGTCATCGCAGGAAGTTCTGTTGCAGGGCGCCAGTCTGTAGTGAGCCATGTGTGTCTCCAAGAGCAGTTTGAGGGTGGACCCACTATTCTCGCTTATTTTCTTACTCTGCTTGGCCTTAGCTTTTTAGAAAGTAGCATGATGTAAGTAGAGAGCCAGTGGGAAGTGGTGCCTGCAGTTGTTCCATTAACTCTCGAAAGGTCGGTTCCCGTGGGTAGGTGGTGGAACCTTGCCTGTCCCTCTTTCCCTTCCATGTGCTCCCAAGCGTCCCTTGGGCACTTGGACAATCCACTGGGTCTAAGAATCCCTGTATCTTTAAATAGGGTTTGGAGTTTATGTCATGGAGAGGAATCTTGGATTTTTTATGTGAGCACATAAAATATATTTTTTGTTACGACTTCATTTCCCGTGGGGGAAGCACCAAGAAGGGGAGTGTGGGAAGAGGCACGGCTGGTTTAGTTCCGCTAACTGTGATGTGCACATTCAACAGCCAGCCGACAGCTAGCCAGCCGGCCAGGGCAGGGCTGCCCCAGGGAAGTAGTGAGCCTGGGAGCAAATGGAAGACAGATGAAAAGGGGACCGGTGGCAAAACACCCACGTTCCCTCCGTCTGTGTAAACCAGTACTGGTGAGACAGCAAAGAGCCGGGCTACCTCCCCTCAGTAGATACTTCCTTTGGCGTCTTTACATATCAGACGTTGTGTAAACGGGACACGAAAGTGGAAGGAGACTACGTTCCTGCCTGCAGCCAGCTCTGCATCTGGGACCACTCTTAATATAGGCTTATTTTCATGCTCCTTGTTTCCCCTGGCCTTCTCACCCCAGGAAGATAGTCCCTGCTTTTTATTAATTTCAGCTGTAAATAACACTCGCCATCTAGCAAAATGGAAACAAGGAGAAAATTAGGAGTTGGGAATGTGGGGAACATTCTTGCTGGGTTTGGCTTTGGGAAAGTAGGAAGTCCATGGAACTGAGCTGCAACAGGTCCTTGAATGAAACAGCTGCTCTTTTGTCGCAGCTCACCTCCTGTTCCACCTGTGGTCGGTCCCCGGACTCCCCAACCTCCACAGGGATTTTTGCCTCGTTGCCTTGTTCAGGTGTTTGCTTTGTAGTCATTTCCCCGTGTTAGTGCCCTGACGCATTCTTCTTCTTCATCCTTAATTGCTGTAGGAAGTCTGAGAAGTGTCCTGGTAGCAGGTGTATTGTCTTGGGGGTGTGAACAGGGGCTTGATTGTTGGCTTTTTTTCTGCTTGACTTTGGTGTTGATTCCCAAAGGGACTCACTCCAGAGATGTTTGGAGCGTGGCGCAACCACAGCCTCCCAGGGAGAATGCTGCACAAACATAGCACTTGGTGCACAAGGTCTTGGGTATTTATTTTGAAAAACTGTCATTAATCAGTTTCTGTGTTATAGGTTGGATAAGGGAGCCAGTTCATCCGTGGAATGCCCAGAGACTGCGGCAGTGGCTCAGTAGAGTCAGGGAATCCCTGCTTTTCCTCCGTATTTGGGGATAGCTTTCTTTTCTCTCTTCTCTCCACTCACCTGGTTCCCTTTCTCCCTCTCTCTTTTTCCCTGATTACCTTTGTCTGGGAGCATGTTGCCTTTACCTTGTATTTGTTCTTGCTTAGGTTTTAGGAGATGGACTCTGAATATGGTGCCTCCCTCCGGGCCACACAGCACGTTTGCTGTCGGTCTGAGGGTGGCTTGGACTAATAAGCACTGAGTGTCATAGAGACAGAAGCTGAAGACACTCATTCCCAAATGTGGCTGCAATTTAGAATCTCCTGGGGAACATTTGAAATTCCTGAGGCCCGGTCACACCCCATGCCGCCTAAATCAGAATGTCTGGGGTTGAGAGCCAGACAGCCGTTTGTCAGAGATCCCCAGGTACTTCTAATAGTCAGCAGAATTTAAGAATTACTGTAAGGGAAGGGGATGGCCCTGGGACAATGTGAGCAGTGACACCTGAGCGTAGTCACAGCGAGCCCATCTTCCACCTCCAGGGTAAAATGATCCACTGGAAAGAGCATCGGTTGCAAAACCAGTTGCTCCAACCTGCTGCCCTGGTGACCTTGGCAAGCTGTTTACCTACTTGGGCCTCAGTTTCCTCCTCTGTAAAATAGGGTCATGATAGTAGCACCTTTCTCATGGAGGCGTCTTAAAGAACCAAAGAGATGCTGTGTGAAAGTCTTTGGAAATGGTCAAGTGCTATATAAACCCTTGCTGTTAGTGGAGATTATTCTTTTATAAAAAGATACTCATTTTCCAGGTGGCCTGGTAAGGTAGAAGGGGTTACTACTGTGGCATTAATTCTTTCATTACCAGCAATAAACCCGATACCTGTTTAAAACAATTTATTTCTCCCTTCTAAGAAAGGGGAGTGGCACAGAGAGGGGGTCTCACCCCGTGTTAGAAGGAACCCAGGGGCTAGTGCCCAAGAGAACCATCACCCCACCGTGCTCAGGGACTGTCCCTGGCTTCTTACTGGCATCTCTAGGGGGGGATATCTGTAAACCATAGGCTTCATCTTCAGGCTTTCTGTTCAGTTGGATTTCGTTTATGTAACAGCAGATGACAAGGTAGAACTGCCCACAGCGCACCCCTGGCAGGCCCTCAAGGAGGGACAAAGGGTTGTCCCATCCACCAGGGCCACTTGGTCATTTTTGTCAGTGTCTTGTGCAGTAAGCATCATTGTGGCTTTTTGGGGTGCACACAAAAGCATTTTTTCCTCTGGCTTGTCCTCCTAGGGATTTGAAGTTGGATGGAGGGAGACAGTCAGCTGGTGCCGTGAGCTTGAAAGAGATCATTGGTCTGGAAGGTGTGGAGCTGGGTGCTGACGGGAAGGTAAGGCCACCTGGCTTCCATTCTGGGGCAGGTTCCCTAGGCACGTGACGCCAGCCTGCCCCAACGTGGGGTGGAAATCCACCAAGCCAGTGACCCAGTAGCAGCGTGGTGGGATTTCCCAGAGCACGTGTTTTTCTCTGCCAGTGCTGTTTACAACTGAATATGCCGTACCTACGACCATCTCATGAGCTCACATGCGTGCTCCAGGAGGGAGTGATGGACGGTGTGAACATCCACTAACTCGTGATGTCAGCAAGCAACACTCCGGCTACTAGAAAGTGTTTTAGGTTCCTGTGGTCCTGAGAAGCTAAGAGTCCCTCAGCCTTACACAATGACCGCCAAGCAGCAGGACTGTCCCATTACTTTCATCCACATGCAGTGAGCTTTGGGTTTGGTGTCTCAGGAGTGAAAGGTTGAAAGATGAACTTGACCTTTTTGTGCTGAGTCCAGGTAGCCTTCATAAACCCTTCCAAAACTTGTTTATGGCAGCAGCGCAGGTGCTTCTTAGGGAAACTGTCCCGGGATAGTGAACAACACTTCCCCTACTGCTCCCAGAGCAGCTGGTTCCTCTGCACCCCAACCATCATCCTTGAGCTCAGGGTAGGGTGTGTGCGAAGTGCTTTGTCAAATACGTTCATATTTCTGCCATGTATCAGGAATAGTCAGACCAAGTGGCATAAATTAAAACTATGCATAACCTAAAGTCAGTTCTGGTGAGGTGTTGGCACACATGAGTGCCAAAACAAATTTCATTTTTTAGATTTCATTGGATTTTAAAATGGCAATGTGAGAACGTGGACCTGAACTCGGGGTGGCAGCTGTAGCTTAATCAGAATGCAGACCTGGCATTGCCTGGGAATAATCACTGGCCTGTTTTGTCTTCACCTTTTAGACTGTTTCCTATACCCAATTTCTGTTACCCACAAATGCCTTCGGAGCCCGGAGAAATACCATAGACTCCACCTCCTCCTTCTCCCAGTTCCGTAACCTGAGCCACCGCAGCCTCTCCACGGGCCGGGCGAGCAGCACCCAGGGGAGCCTCGACACAGGTAACCTCGGCCCCGCCAGGTCCAGGGAGCTCATGGCAGGAGGTGCTTCAGCTTACAGCGTGGTGCAGACTGGAGGACAGGTGCCCGCAGGTGATGTGACTTTTAGGAAAGCCTGGTGTCAGGCCGTGCAGGCTCAGGCCACAGGTGAGCTGTCTCTGATTCGAAGCCTCAGTCGCCGACTGCCTGAGCTTCCACACTGTGACCTGGTTCTGTCCTGCATTTTCATAGTGCTCAAGTTTGTCTTTTGGCTGTTGTTGTTGTCGTCGTTGAAATATTCGGGCCCTGAAGTGCAGGATCAGGTGTGAAAGTTTCCTTTGTGATTATCAGAGTGGGTGAGCCAAGTTGGTGGCTGGGGGAAGACTCACGTGCTTCTACTTTCACCTGTGCAAACCCTTGTAAGAATTGATACAAGGGAGAAAACTGTTGATGAAGCCGTCCTCATTCTCCTCTCAGAGAAATTCAAGGTGAATGTGAAGATCTCTATATCTGCCCAAGTGCTGAGTTCTGAAGTCCTGTCCTAATGTTCTGGCCACCTCTGGTCATTTACAGCTGTGTGCATTGGTGGCTGCTGTGATTTATGTTCATACAGACACAATAGCTTGCCTGGAAGCGTTCGTACCGCACAAATCATGCTTCTCAGACGGCACGACTTGAGTCTACTCATTTGATCTGTGGGTTTAGAAAATGAGCCTCTTTGGGGCCACATTCTGTAATATAATCTGCAAATGCTCTCTGCATCTTGCATGCTCTGTGAAGTTTTGTGCTCTCCTGGGTCAGGGAGAATAATATGTAATTCTCTGAAAAGGGAAAAAATGTCAGAAAGTTAAGCACTTGGCGAACCCTTTTGAAGGGGCAATACATGTCACCAGCATGCAGAGGTGACTACCAACGGTCAGCGAGCAAGGTGATGCTGAGCTAGAGCCCTGAAGCCAGCCCTTCTCTTCCTAACTCCACTTGGCGTCCTCCCAGCTGCCTCTGCTTTGGAGGGTCCAGGGCCCCTAATTATCATTTTACCTGTGATCTTCAGGTAGTGACCTGGGAGACTTTATGGACTATGACCCAAATCTCTTGGATGACCCCCAGTGGCCGTGCGGGAAGCACAAACGCGTTCTGATCTTTCCTTCATACATGGTGAGTAGCTTCGGGTGGCTGGCTGTCTTGCCTGCCCCTTCATCTGTCCCGGCGTGGCTTGGAGCTGGCTCGCTTGCATTGACAGACAGGCTGGGGGCCGGTGCAAAGACTGCTGTGCCTGGGGGACCTTCCGGAGGAGCTCCCAGTGTGGGTGCTTCCACGGAAGGCCTGGCACCTGCCTAGTGTCCAGAACCCTGCTGGTCACCCGGCCTGTGAACACCACTTTCTGGGCACTGGCGAAGCCTGGGTTGCGGGTGTCTAAAGTCATCAGCTGAGGTTGGGGAGGACCCTCACCTCTGAGGGGGCAGGTCTGAGCTTATGCGTCCACAGACCCCACTGCGGGAGGACCAGGCCCATCCCTGGGAGTGCTGAGTTCAAGTCCAGCTCTGTCTGGAGCTCCTCAATGGTGTAGGCCTCCGTGTGCATTCTGAGCAAACATTTGGCACCAGCCTGGGGATGATAGAATTATCTCTGGGAAAGTGAAAGTAGGACACTGTGGGTGTTAAATGCAAAACCTTTCTCTGCTGGCTTTTTTTTTTTTTTCCCCCTCGGACTCTTCCTGTTTTTCCCTGTGTGCAATTTTGGTTTCTGCTTTGGCTGACCACCGTTTCCCACCGCTGAGGGCTGCTGTTTCTCCAAACACCAGAGGGGCCTGCTGGGGTCTTTGGGCTGACTTGCCCTGACTCGGAGGCAAGCAGAGCCCCAGCTGCTGTGGGAGGAGGGGAGAGCCAGGCTTTCATGGGAAACGGATCGACCCGGCCTGCCATGCCCAGCGTCGGGTGGGAGAGCTCTAACCCAGCACGTCCCCACTGCCTTCTGCATCCTGGCCCACAAGCCAGGCCCCGGGGGTGACACGGGGTGGCACAGCTGAGCACTTCCTCCCCTGGTTCCCTCCCTCATGCTCCCAGACTGTGCGGCTTTCAGGAGTGAGCCAGAGAGTCCTTTCTCTCTTCTGGGCTCTCGCATCTGCAGTAGCTAGGGTGGGCACCATCCCCACGTGCTAAGGGGGCAGCCAGACCTGCAGTCAGCTCAGCATTCTCAGCTGTTTGTCAGAGAAACTCCAGGCAGAACTCGGGCCCTTGCCAGTTACTTCCAGCACATACCCTCTTGTGATCCAGCATGTGGTTCAGAGCTCGTTCTAATACGCCACCTGGAGTCGGAGTGCACTGGAGTCGGTCACTGGAGAATGCGTTCCACTCAAAGGCAGTTTAACGTTGCCCCACCCCTCCCTCTCCCACAGCGCCCGCCAGCTCCTAACACAAAGCAAAACCATTCTTCCCACTCTGTGACCTGTTCAGGAAAACCCAGGGCTTATTCCTCTTCCCCAGAGGCTGGCACATAATAGGTGGTCAATACATGACCAGAGTCATTGCGCTCATATTAGGGAGGGAGCAACTGAAAGGCTGTCACTTGTATAAGAATAAAGATTCTTGATATGGTTCGCTGCTTTATTTATTAAAGTTCGTTTGATTTATCACGTAACTTGGGCAGGAAACTGTGGCTCAGGGAGTCCGAGTCCTGTCTCTCACAGTTAACAGACAGGAAATGGGGCACCCGGGCTAGAACCCCTGGCTCAGGGCTCTTTTTCCTTTGCCTGGTAGTCTCTGAGTCCCACACCCCTTAGCAGGCAACGGCAGAACTGCCAGCCTGAGGGTAGGATGTGAAAATGATTCTTCAGGCCAACAGTTTCACAAATTCCCAGGTAAGCAAGAGAATGAGAAGGTGCGCTATTTCTGATTGGCATTGGGGTTTGGCAGGGGACACCCCCTGCAGACGTGTCATGCCTGGTCATACCGTCGACCTCCCCTTTTATAGGCCTAGTGTCAGGCTGGTGCCAGATCTGATTTTTTTTTTTTCCTTTAAGTGATTTCATCGGGAGCTTTGAGGTTTCAGGCTGCGATATATGTGTGCATGCAGGCGCACGTGCACACAAATAACTCTTCCGCCTTGGACGGTGTGCTAGAAGACTTGCCAAGTCAGCACATATGTCCTACCCTCCTCATTTCGTGTTCCCAAGTGGATCGTTTTTCATTTCACCGCACTGGCTCTGCAGCCTGTATTTCCTGTAATAGTTCGTGTTTCAGAGAATAAAATTGCTCATGAGCTGCATTTTCCTGGTCAGCTCCATGAGACCTACGTCTCCTATTCTGGCCACAGATGTTGGTATTTTGATAAAATGTGGAAAATCCACTTTTCACCATTTTCATCTAAGTTATGGACAGAGCGTTGTGTGTCGCAGGGGGCCTCACCCAGCTCCCCAGAGATTTACTTCCTGGCAGCAGGCATGGATTGCGGGGCTGTTCCTCATGCATTTGCATTGAACGTGTAGGAGAAAGAGTGGGGCAAGGGGTTGTGTTTGTTTGTTTGCTTTATGTTTGTGTGTTGGGCAACAGGTATGGAACTGGCCCATTCAACAAGTATTGATTGAGGCCCTACCCTGTGCCTGGCGAGGTGCTTCCTTATCCAGTGGAGACCGAATCAGCCGCAGACCTGTTCTCCTCCACCTTGGAGGAAGTGGAGAAGTCAGGCAGTAAACAAGTAGACAAATCACCGTAGTGGGGAGGGGGGTGAGGACGAACCGTCTTGGAAAAGGGGTAGGAGATGACCGACGGGGAGGGTCGGAGGTGGCCAGTGGGTGGGCCTCAAGGAAGGCTGCCCCGGAGAACGGCACCGAGCATGAGAAGCAGCAGCCGCACCAGGATTTAGGAGGGAGAAGGGAGAGCCCGTGTGGGAAGACCCTGAAGTGTGAAAGAGGTAGGTTTTGTGTAAAATCGGTATTTCTAACAGTAAAAGTCCCTGCCTGTCCCTCTATACACACACACACACACACACAGATCAAGCCCACAGAACAACCCTGACAAACCTTCCTCCCCACTAAATCGGCCCCAGGTTCAGGGAGCTGCACCTGAAATAGGCCGCTGACTCCTAAGTTGCTGCACTACAGGGTTATTTGAGCCAGGTTGTTGAAGGTCCTCCATTAGGTCAGCCCCTTTGCTCACGGGTGGCAGGGCACTCCCGGCAGGTGGACGGCAGGCCTGTGAAGCCTGGCCCTGCGCACTCTGTCCTGGGCTTCCTGCTGCCACGTCTGCTTGGTGACTGGGGACGGAGCCAGGCCTGCCCCGCCCACCTCCCTAAATATTGGGCACAGGCCCTGGGGCCCCCAGAGCAGTCCAAGTAGGCCAGGCATCGGAGGTGCCGGTCTGAGCCCCCTGGGAGTGCTGTCCAGTCTTTTGAGATGTCCTGTTTCTGTGGAATTTCAGGCCCTGAGATGTCCATGTGGCCTCTCCAGAACCAAGCGACCCTTGCAGCGAGGAGCTAATCCTTTCCCCCATCGAATTCTGCTGCAGCTATATAAGGAGTAACTTATGTTCACTCAAAAGCACCTGTTTGAAATGTACAGGTCCATGAATTTGTAACCACCACTCTGATCCAGATAGCGTTTCTATCCCCGCAGAAAGTTCCCCCTGTGCACCCCACTCCTTCCATCCCCTCCCCACAGACAACTGTTCCGACTTCTGTCACCTCCTAAATTAGTGTCACCTATTCTGGAACTTGATGTGCATGGGATCATCTGGTAGGTATTTTTTTTCTTTGTTCCATTTTCTTTCATACAACTTATTATCTGTGAGATTGCCCCCCGTTAAGCGTGTCAGTAGTTTGGTTTTTTTTAATTGCTGTGTGGTGTTGATGTGCTACAGTTTATCCCTTCCCTTGCTGGTAGACATTCGCGATGTTTGCAGTGCAGGGATGTTATGAATACTGCTGCTGCTGTGAACACTTGTACACGTCTTTTTGTGGGCATATATTTTCATTTCTCTTCGGTAAATACCTAGGAGCGGGATTTCTGAGTCATAGTGTAGGTGACATTAACCAGCCAGGGTGTAGTTAGATGTATATTTTCATTGCTGTTTGTTCTAAGTGTAATAGAAAAAGGCCACTCGTTGCCACAGGACACGCTTTAAAGTTACAAGGTTCCAGAGGTGAAGCCTGTCATTTACAGAGTGCTCCGGGCACCCTTTCCATATTGGCCTCACATCCGAATTTGCATTTTTTATCTTTAATCCATATGTGTCACTCCCCCTTTTATCCACCGAAAGGGCAAAGGTGAGATTTTGAACTAAAAAAAAAATTCCCGAGGCAGGTGTGCAAACCAAATTGCAGCTGCCCCTGTGGTTTGGTCTTCAAGTTTCTAGAAGGCGACCACAGAACGTGAAAGCTGGCTGCGTGCAGGTTCTTGCAGGGCATTAGCGAAATGGAGGTGCGTCTCGGTGCCGCGAGGGAGGGCGGGCGCTTCCGGCACTCTGCACCGCTTGGCGTATAATTAAAGTTTCACGAGAGAGTGGTTATTTATCACTGGAACCTGGCAGTCAGGTTGGTAGTGGTGTTTTTTTCCCTCCCTTTATGGGTGTGGAAAGCAATTAAGAGGGGAAAGTAAGTGAGAAAGCTGAGATGATGCCGACAAAATTAACGTTAAGTGAATGGATTTCTGGGTCCTTGTTCTTTCTGAGGAAGAAGTCCCTCACACGGCTTTGACATCAGAAGGAAAACCTGTGACACCTCTAGGTATATAAATCCCAAGAGAACTTCTCTCGGATTGATAGCCACGATAAAGTGTCTATTCTTTTATTTACTTAATATCAAAACCTAAGTACTCAGAAAGCCTTCCCTCCACCCTCGAATCTCCCCAGCTTGTGGGACCGTATCTTGGAACTTAATCTTTCAGTACAGTGTGAGATGCTGAGCAGTGGGAAATAACTGACTCAACCAAAGGAAGATGAATTCAACCTTCGTGTGGGAGGTGGATTGGACTCTGTTCCCCCCAAATATTTATATATATATATATATATATATATGTATTTTTTTTTTCATTAAAAGTTGCGGTGATGGCGTAGGCACGTGTTTGCCCGTCTGCAGGGTGGGTTGCTTGGGAAGCTACAGCAGATTGAGCTCCAGCCCCTCCTTCACAAGGCCCCTTCTAAGGCCCTCAGGTTTCAAGGTGT